AGAAAATGATTAATTTAAACTACACACGAAACTTGGGCAACAAATGTATTAATTTCAAAATTAATACTTCGCAATGCATGAATTTCTCGAATGAAAGTAAGGGTAAAATTATTCCTGATTCTTGTTTGTCAACTCCGAACATTTCATGTCACAGTTTATTAAAATCATATACAGGGTGCAATTTTTGGTGATTATTACCATGTACCAAAAATTTACTGAATCCAACCCTGGATATAGATGAATGTTGATTTTCAGTGAACTGAAGAATAGGAAATGATGTTATTCTTGCTTCTATTCGTGAAATTCTAGCGGTGCGAAGTATTCATTCTCAAATTAATACATTTGTTGCGAAAGTTTCACGTGTAGTGAAAATTGATCGTACTCTAAGAAATTCTGTGAAACTCTGAGGAAAATTTGAAATACTTAATTTTGGTTGCCAGTTCATCAACTTTGACAATTCCATATCACAGGTTACTAAAACCATATACAGGGTGTAATTTTTGGTGATTATTACTCTCTACTAAAAAATTACTGAATCCGACCCTGGAAATAGAAGAATGTTGATTATTGTTGAGCTGAAGAATTGAGAATGATATTATCCCTACTTTCATTCGTGAAATTCATGCGTTGCGAAGTATTAATTTTCAAATTAATACATTTATTGCCCAAGTTTCGTGTGTAGTTTAAATTAATCATTTTTTAAGAAATTCAATGAAATTGTGAGGAAAATTTGAAATACTTCATTTTAGTTGCCTGTTCATCAACTTCAGAAATTCCATATCACAGTTTACTAAAACCTCATACAGGGTGAAATTTTTTATATGGACCAAATTGGCAGAATTTCTCAAGACCGGTCCTGGATTTTCACGATTCTGAATACGTCAGTTGATTGCTGAGTGACAGCATGATAATCCATGAAAAAATGAAAGAAATCGAAAGAACTGTTGGAAAGTTATGATTGAAAGAAGTTTTTGCCATATCTCATTAATCACCCTATAGATTATTTTAGAAGAGGCGGAGACACTTTCTGATGGTCATTTGGTATTCCCCTCAGATGCCTCTATTCGTAGTAGGAGCATGTACAGTTCCTCATGACTCACCCTGTATATTTGGATACATTTTAATTTTAAATTCATATACGGGATGTTCATATTTGTATCGCAATAGAAGAAAAATAAACACCTATTTTAAGACCCTTTGATGTACTGAAGGTTTAATTGATATCGTATACAGGGTATTCCAAATATTGAAGGAGATAATTCGTAGCCTTGTTTACGACCAATATCTAATGTTCTATAATACTTCCTGTAGTTTTTTCATATGTTATACCACAAGTGTTTTTTTTATGTTCTGGTTCTGGATATCCTGTAATGTCCAGAGAACATCGTGAGAACCAAGGGAAATAAGGTAGGAATTGGTGTTCTTCTTAAATTTCTGGAGGTTATAATATGCCTCAAGGAACACCTCTCTTGGCAATGTGTTCCAGAGCCTCGCTGTTCGTTGGATGAACGAGTCTTTGAAAACAGATGTTCTGCAGGTCTCCAAAGTGACCACGAAGGGGTGCGAAGCCTCAACTCGACGGGTAAATCTCGCGGGGACTGCCAAGTGAGGCACAATTGTTGATATTTCAGAAGAGCATCGTCCATAAAAATATCTATAAAATAGAGCAAGATCGCCAGCTTTTCTACGGTGTTCCATAGAAGTGAGTGAGTTTGTGAGCGAGGCATCACCCACGAGACGAATTGCCCTTTTTTGCACAGAATCCAACAGTTTCAGGGTATGTTTTGGTGCTGCACTCCAAATATGGGAACAGTATTCCAGGACAGATCGGATCTGTACCATATAGATCATGAGCAGCTGACTGGAAGTGAAATAGCTCCTGACCCGAAACAGAAAACCAAGTTTTAGGGATGCAAGCAACGAAAAGAGTTTTCAAATCTCATACAAAAATATGAAAGGTCATTCGAGTTTGTACAAAAGAGGATGTCTTGTTGAATCTGAAAGTGGCATCGTTATCGAGAAAAACGGAAAAACGAGAGGGGGAGGCCATACTGATTTTTTAAAAGAATATTTACGTGAGCTCTTCATCAAAAAAACTACTAGTATATATAATTTTGATTTTGTAGAAATCATATTGATACTTAATAAATATATATTAATATTCTCAGATATGTTTCTTTTCCATACTTTCATACCCAGTAAAGTGGTTCGCAATTGAACAATAGAAATTTGGTTTTTCAGACCTTCAATCACAGATTCGTGATTGGGTTTTCTCAATTCAAAATTTTTCCCACGCCCTGAATGATGAACACCAATTCATCGTACAAAGCGATATTAGTAGTGCTATGTTAAGCACTTGTGGAACAACTTTCTTCACTCTCTGCCTTGATATACCACCCTATATAGCGATGAGGGAGTGTAAATAGTACAGGGTGTCCCTATAAGGTTGTAACGTAGTGGAATAGGTTAAATAGAAATGGATCTCAGGGGTCGTCAATAATAAGTCTATTCCAACTAGTTTTTTCCTCTTATATTTCTTACGAGAACATTCACAATTCTGAAACATTAGTTTGCTGAATAATATAATATAAATTCGAAGACTCACATCACTCACCTGAAAACAGGTAGAGAGTTTATCTCAATGAACAAACCCTGATTCACCAGAAAGCCTTCAGCAAAGGAAATTCAAGTATAAAATATTGTGAATAAGAATATTTTGATCTAACAACAAATGAATTGTTTTTCCAACACCTAGGAAACGGTCTACACGGCCTTAAGCTCATAGTGTATATAATACATAATAAGCATTCTGCTACAAGGTCTATACTGAAAAATTCATGATAAATCATCAACACATATTCCTGATGAGGTCAAAATAAGACGATTTGAAAAGTTAAAAAAATATTTGAACATTTTTGAACGTATCACTTCAAACATTGGCCGTTAGAGGGCGCTTACCAATGCACTTCTTATTGTTTAGGATAGCCATAATTTTTTGTTCAGTCTAGTTTTTCACTTTTTCTGTTGAGGAAATGCTTTTCTGGATAGGTTCACCTGTGTAAATTCGCTGAAGAAAGCCGTTTTCGAGATATTTCGGTTTTTGTTGATCGATACTGTACCGGAATATTTAAAATATTTTGAATAAAACATTTTTGCGGTTATCTTCGTGTATGTAACTTGGTTGAATGGATGCTTTAAAATACTTTTTTGAAGTGTACTTGACGATTTTTATTATTTAAATTCACCACCCTGTATCTCAGAAACAGAATAATTTCGGACTGAGGCAAGTTCCTTTAAATCCTGTCTGTAGGTTAATCGAGGAGGTGGAACATTCATTTTACTTGATTTTTTGGGATTTTCTCTCCTCGTTTCTATAAAATGAAAATATGCGTATTATTTCAATATATTTGTAGTGGGACAAATCAGATGATTTGCCCCAAAATGTCACTGCGTTTAACAAATTTTCCTATCAGGAAGCCTAAAAGAAAATTCCAGTAGCTTGCCAGTGACACTTTGTTTGAAAAAATGTTTGAAGGCAAGAAATATAGATATATTGAAAAAATATCGAATTTTTACTTATCTTTGGACGTTTCGGGAACGAATCTGCTCCCGTTCTCAACATAAAAATGCAAACTATTTTTCTTTGGAAGTTGTGATCTGCTTATAGTTTGACACTTATCAATGTCATACTGATGTTGGCATATGAATGAGTGATTTTAGTCTACAAATGAGCTACAGGATGTTTTCATTAATTGATCTTGAATATACCATTTTCATGTTCAGTTTTCAGTAGTGAATACCATGTCCTATCTATATCAACTGAACAGGAAGCCATGCTATTGTCTCCGTTCAGAAGAATGCAAGTGGATTCTTTGATTTTTCTTTTTTGGTTGTTATCTTCCTTTCATATAATCTTGATATTATTCCACTCTGCCATATGTTGTCCATCTTCAGTAAGGATATGTTCAGTTAGCTTCGATTTATCGATATGTCTTTTCTTGATAATGTACTTGTGTTCTTTAGTCCTTACTGAGAGAAGTCTTTTCGTTTCACCTGTATAATACTTTCCACAAAGACAAGGTATACTATAAATACAAATTTTCAATGAAAACATCCTGTAACTCATTTGTAGACTAAAATCACTCATTCATCGACCAAACGTCCAAAGATGGGTAAAAATTCGACATTTTTTCAAATGAAGTGTCACTGACACGCTACGGGCTTTTTGTTTTAGGCTCCCTGATAGAAAAATTTGTTAAACGCAGTGACATTTTAGGGCAAATCATCTGATTTGTCACATTACAAATATATCGAAATACTACGCATATTTTTATTTTATAGAAACGCGACAAACAGTCTTCTACTGGCAAGAGACTATGATGGAAACAACAATATTCATGGGCATCTGACAAATGTGCTAGAATTGTTAAGAAGTGGACTAAAATAACCCAACAGTCATCCAGTCATGGACATTGAAAATGAAAACATTCAACAAGATGGAATTATGTAAAGTATCTCAAAACCTAGAAAAGAAATCATTGAGTTACGCATCACCTATTTGCAGAATTCACACCATGGAACATGAAAAGGCAAATCTTCATGTTACAAAATCCCAAAAATTCAAGTAAATGAATTCCTTCAAATCGTTTATTTTGACCTCAGGACTACGTGTTAAGATTTAGCACAGGCCTTCTAGGGACACCCTATATATGTATACTACTACTTCAGAAAAAATAGGCATCAACATGTCTCCTTTTTATATTTTTATTGTTTTCTCTCTCTAATATAAATGTTCAGCATAAAATTGGAGTTTCAGTCTTATTCACATATCTCCAAGTTCATGACTAGACATCTAGGAATAGGGGGGATATCTCGCCGAATTCGCCTTCTCCTCCGATCTGTCCAGCTTCCTGATCAGCGTCCCCTTCATATGGGAAAATGTATCGAAGCTGAACTTCCCGTGATAGCCCCCCATGCCACTGTTGCCAACCCCCCCGAACATAAACGTGTCGCAAGAGATATGAATGAAAGAATCATTGACCACCATGTTGCCACTGGAAGTGTTCTTCAGGAAGAGATCTTGGACCTGCTTATCTGTGCTGAAAACGTACAGAGCCAGAGGCTTCTCTCGCTCGTTGATGAAGTCAACCGCCTCCCTAGCGTCTTTGATCGTAATTAGGGGGAGAATGGGGCCGAAGATTTCTTCTTGCATCACGGGGTGGGTGGGCTGAACGTCCTCTAGTATTGTCGGTTCGATGTACAAGTCGCTGACATCGTGAGCACCGCCTATGGCTATTTTAGCGCCTGGAAGTCAAGTTGAAATGATGATTTACGAAGTTTAGTTGAGTAGTAGACCTATGTGACTCCGGACCCACTTTGCCCCTACGTCTCTCATGGTAGGTAGCGTCCCTTGATGCAAACTGACGTATTTGTCATCTAACAGTGTACAGACAGATCATAGTGGAAGGAGAAGATGGTGTGCTCGACAGGAAGCTCATACTCGTCTTGTTCTGCGCATGACGCCAACTGGGATATAACTGTCATTATTTGTTCTCGTGATCGATGTCCGAATTGAATGAGATAATTTCGAAATGCCCACTTGTTTCGTTTCTGGTTATGAAAATTCCAACTAATATACAAAAGGCACAGATATTGAATTTTTCTGTTTTTCCAAGAATGGAGACCTAATGAAACGATGGGTGGAAGCTTGCTGCCGACCGAAAATAAACTCAAATAATGGTACCTACCTTATATTCCTTATATCCTCATTCCAAAGTATTCACCTATCATATTATCATCATTTTGTTCGAAACATTTCCATGCAAAATGTTCTCAAACAAGTTTGAAAGTACAGTTGTTGAAATACACACCTCCAAAAAATCACGAATATTCCAAACAATAAGATGTCATTCCTACAGAACATCTTCCGTCAAATATTGGGTTAGAAATAATTGAAAATTGATTCAAATTATTTCATTTCTCACAACATATAAATTGCAGCAAATATTTGAATAACAAAACGGCAAAAAATGTTACTCCTGTTATCGATGTCAAAGCAGAAGCAACGTCAACGTCGTTAACTGCTGAATTTTAATCTGTCAGAATCGACACAGTGGTGGATCATTCGATGGGATTGGCAATGCATGATAAATTTTATGTATTTGCTATTTGCGAATCAATGGAATAGTAAAATCGGAGGAATAAGTACCAATTTATATGACAGATCGAGAAACTCATTGAACTTGCAATAAACTTATTTGAATTCATAGCGCACGCCAATGGCAAAGGCAAAATATGCTCATAGGCACACCATCTTCTTCTTCCACTATGGGACAGATCATAGCTCCTTTCTCTTTAAATCATCTAGTGACTTTGGTTTCGTGTATTGGCGTCCCTGACATGACATTGCTGTCACGTCACATTCATAGGCGTGAAAAGAGATCTTACAAAATCTTGATTTCATGCTTTATCTTAATACGACATTATTAAATTCTGTTTTGGAAAGATGGTGACCTGTGCTGCGTTAGGCGTTAACGAATCAAACTTTCAGAAAAATTTGCTCACTGCCTCACAGGTTAGTTATGCTAGAGTTGAAAAGTCAAAAACTCTGAAATTATCATCATCATTTGAATATAATATGTATAGTTGAAAGAGGAATTACATGTGGAAATTACGTATGATACGCCAATGTCCTCAATATAACCTAAAAATCAACAAATGATGGAACTATATAACTGTTTCACAAACACTTTAGAGTGAGAGGAGACGAGGATCTGTCCGTACCCTCTTAAGATGACAAATACGTCAATTTACATCAAGGGACCCTAATGGTAGGTACCGTCAAACGTGGTTAAGTGAACCATAGTGGGCAAAATGAATCAGTCGGATGACAGGTAGTCCTTCGAAAAGACCTGCGCGGCACCTGAACAATATGTTTTGCAGGATCTGACCTCAAGATTACTTCGTTCATCGGTTGTATACTTTTTTCATATATTTATGAATAGGAGAATATATTTTTACCGGGTTGCCAATCGAAATATGGCCGCAAGTATTTTTAATTAAATTAATAAAAGCACAGAATACCCAATAATCGGAAGTGCTTCTCTGGTCGGCGCCTTTGATATATTTATTAGGATCTGTTTTCTGTGATCCGCAATATGTTCTTGGGATAGCCAGCAGGGCCGTTCTAAGGGAAATGACAGGATTGTACTAACTGCATTTATTCACACTTTGTGTGTGATTTATGGATACCAGTAAAATGTATTCAATTCTTACGTAATCACACTTTCACCTGATTCAATGAAGAATAGTTTTTAAGAGCTAACTTTTATTTTCAGTAGGACAGGTTTGAATATAAACATTGCTGAAAATTGAAATTGATAGATTTGACCAGGTTTTCATCAGATTATATTTTCAAGTCGTTTTTTGTTGAAACAAAACTAATTTTTTTTTCTCAATTGCAGTTCTGCTTGCTCAATAGGTATACATCAGGGCGTATTCATTCAACTGACTCTGATCAGATGAGGAATAAAACCAAGTCATAGGATTGTTTTTGCAACCTTTAGCAGCGCACACATGACCACCTATAAGTTTTTTTTAGCACTCATGTCTACAATTACAGATGAAGCAGATATAAAGAGTCTATAATTGGCTTCTTATTCACAACCAAAGCAGGTAGGCACCAAAACTCATTCGAACAGTACAACTCAAACAACAACACAACACAGAAAAGATTCAGAATTCGATAAACAAGTGAATAAATAACCCAGGAAGATGGCCGACAACCTGCGCCGTTCAAATGCGCGAACCCACTCCCGCGCAAGAGGTGCTATTCTGATTGTTGGGTAATCTGTGATAGAAGGAAATTGGTTTTCAACTCACCTTCTAAAAGTTTGACGACCCTACGAAAATGATTCTCATTGACGATCCTGCCATAATCCGGATTGGTCTTGACATTCCCTCCGTACCACTTATCGATAACTTTTTTACATGCCGCGACCAGCTTGCTTTGGATTTCTCGTCTGCACAGAACATAATCTGGCGCTATGCAACTCTGCCCAGCATTAGCCAATCGCCCGAATAAAATCCTAGCTGCCGTTAAATCCAGATCAGCCGTTTCGTCCACGTAAACAGGACTTTTACCCCCCAATTCCAGCGTGACGGGGGTAAGAAATTTGCTAGCGGCTTGGTGGACGATTTTTCCGACGCTGCTGCTCCCCGTGTAGAAAATATAGTCGAATCTCTCTGCCAGAAGCTTCGTGGTTTCTGGTATTCCTCCGTTGACTACTTGGTAACAGTCCGGCGCCAAATACTTGGGGATCAAGTCTGCCAGAATTTTGGCGGAATGCGGGGCGATCTCTGACGGTTTCAGGATAACCGTATTACCGGCCGCTATGGCACCTGTGAAGGGGTCTAGAGTTAGGAGGATGGGGTAATTCCAGGCTCCTATTATCAGCACAACACCATAAGGCTCTGGTTGGATAATCACCTGCAATCACAAATATTATATTCTACATACTGTCACGATATTGGGATTGTTTTCACCATGTCACGTTAAAATAGATGGTTAGTCCATCCATATCGATTTATAAGGGGTTTGCTTGGCCTAATAGTTTCCGAGAGGTAATATTCAAATAGACATTAATAGTTTAGGGGTAGCTGAAAGTAGAAGTATATTCAAACATAACAATATTTTTTGCAGCATGAAACATTATGGGTAGTGATGACAAATTTATGAATAAACAACAATGAATATAAAGACCTCATAACCGTATGTGTGGTTATCCAATTGTAAATGGTTCAGAAGTGATTAATGTTATTCAATTCCTATAAAAATAATTGATTACGATCAATGACGGCTTAATATCAAGTGAGCTGCCGACCATGTCATGACTGCCCAATCACTAAGTTCAGTGTATGATTGCTGGGATGGCAGCACATACGGGTGATGGCAAAGATTTCATTTGTTTTTGAGAATTTTTTCAAATTATTGGTTATGTATCTCATGAAATTGCGCCTGATGTCACTCCAATTTCTGTCGTGTCAAGTTCGATTGATGGCTATGGTTCACGCGTAAATTAGCAAGATGAGCTGTATCAGGAAAATTTCGTCTGAAGAAATCACGGAAATATGAGAAAATCAATTCCGCAAACTAAAAGTTACACGGAATCATCAATAAGGGTAATCATTATTGTTGTTTATTTGTATATTGTCAGTGATATTCTTTCATTTTGAACTAACTGACACATTTCACTTGAACTGAACTGAATCAGTTGACATCCATTGTGCATAATGAACGTCATTCCAAAGAACGATTCCGTTCAGTTCTAGTGAAATATGTCAGTTAGTTCAGATTGAAAGAATATTACTGTCGTTGATTTATATCTTGTCAAAAAACACTCGAACTCTTTTTTTATTTGGATAGATTTCCTTATACTAACTTAAGATGGTAACTCAAACATTTTCCATCAGCTATCTCTCTCGAAAACTGACATTAGACTTTTTAATGGATGTTTTTCTCGTAAAATTACTGATGTTTTTCGTTGCCAAGAGAAATTTACCTGATAAAAAAAGCTCTTGTGTTTTTACTGTTGATAAAACTTTGTTATATAAATATAACCAATCTCAAAAAAAGTTGCCCATTCAATACAGATTTCGAAATGGTATAACATATGGAGCTATTCAAAACAGCCTTTCTGTTATAATTTTCTTCTTAAATGGGTTGCATTTTCAGAAAAAATAGATAAGTTTTGAACCATCAACAATTTGTTCTACAAAATTTTGTTTTTGTTCTAAATTTGTTTTGTTTGTTTGTTTGTTGTTAAATGCCATTAGTTTGATCACAAATGGCCCCCCCTACCACCCCACATCTTTTGATCTATCACTTATGGGACACCCTGTATAGATTGAGATGTTTATAATTCCTCTAGAGTGCCCACTCTCCAATTGTTTCGTCAGACTAGCTCTCGATATGAACAATTGAATGCGAGTTCGGAACGTGTGGTTTTCATATTCGATGATAGATGGCGTGAATGATGAACAATTTCTTGAACAATTTCAAAATGCGTTTCGAATCTTATTATCGGGACCTGAAGAGCCCTTTGATGATGCACGAATTCAATAATACCTGATAAGAAACATCTAGAGACAAGACGTAAAAGAAACAGGGCGCAAAAAATAATCCGTGCGGAAACATCTTGATCTTGACATATCTGTCACGAGTGCCATGTTGCCGGCTTATTCAGTTCAGTTCGATCTCGTTCATTAGCGGAGCTACAGGGGGTCAAAGTTAAATTATTTTTTTCTATTAATTGAAATATCTGGTTTACTTTTCAAGATATCATTTTGAAATTTGGTGTGGTCGATACTATTTAGAATATCATCATTTCAAGCCATTTTAAGATTCTCAAAATCTACAGGGTGATACGGTTTTGGGGATAGAGGCTTCTTTATCCCCCCCAAACTTTTTCGTAGTACGCCTCTGGCATCTTCTTGTGATCAAATTGTGTGGATCGTTCAATTTAGAAGCTTTTTTGTGCTTCAATTTTTTTCGAGAATCGAACTGTTTTTGAGATAATTGAGCATATACGTTCTGAAACATGTTAATTTTGCCTATGTTTCGATTAAATCTCATTTAACTGAAAAAAAAAAACTCGACTCTCTACCCTCCGTATTCCCGTAACTAATCCAGATTGGACTAGTGATTGCAATTTTAGTGAGTACATTTCATTGTATTCTCAACGAATTTTGTCTAAGAATAAAATTTATGCGAAACATAGGCAAAATTAACATGTCTTAGAACGTATATGCTCATTTATCTCAAAAACGGTTCGTTTTCTCGAAAAGAATTAGGAAGCAAAAAAGCCTCTAAATTGAACGATCCACACAATTTGATCAGTGAAAGATGCCAGAGGCGTACGACGAAGAATTTTGGGAGGGATAAAGAAGCCTCTACCCACAAAAACCTATCACCCTGTAGATTTTGAAAATCTTCAAATAGCTTGAAATGATGATCTTCTAGGAAGTATTGACCACACCAAATTTCAAAATGAAATCTCAAGAAGTAAGCGATATATTTCAATTATTAGAACAAAATTATTGAACTCTGACCCCCTGTAGCTCCGCTTCTGGACGAGATCGGACTGATGTTTATATGAACTTATCCGATTGAAATGATGAGATCTATCTCCCATTACAGTTTGTGCCTCAAAACCTGAATCACCCTGTACAACACATTGTATGTGAATATGTTTATATCGTTTAGTTATCTCAGTTGTCAGGAGGACCGAGAGCTGCAGATGACGCCTTGCGACCCGAAACAGTACGCTCTCACTTTTGCTAATGGAATTGGGGGTAGATGACTCGTTTTATCCTCAATATCTCTCAGGTAGCTGGTAAATCATTCAAATCTCACCTCGTCATTTATGAAAGCTTTGGGTTTTCCAGGTTCCTGTGGCTTCATCCAATTCTCTAAATTGCTAATGATATTTTTCAGTGCCTTCTTGACACTCTCGATTTCATATCCGACAGCTTCGAATTTCGGTTTTCTGACATCTTTGACGATTGCATCGACCAGTTTTGCTTCATTTTCTTCGACCATGCGCAGCAATGCCTTGATTTGTTTCATTCGGAAATCATAACTTCTCGTCACACCACTTGCGAAAGCCTTTCGGGCTGTTTGGACTGCTTCTGCAGGCGTACTCATATTGGGTAGTAATCTGCAAACAGGAGGATGAAATGTGCATTAAAACGGAGCCAAGTCGAGATACTTCATTGATTTCATTTATTTCCTTTGCTTATCCTCGGCCAGTGATTGGCTGAATGATTCAGGCGAGGTGCAGGAAAATGGAGGAGTGGGGTTGGTCTGAACTAACGCGTTACCTACTACGGTGTAAGGGATCATCCAGATTCCGAAAATTTTATTTTCTTGGTGATGGAAAGTGGAGGAGTGGGGGTGATCTGAGCTAACGCGCTACCTACTACGGTGTAAGAAGAGATCATCCATCAGGTTTCGAAAATTCCATATCTTTGGTGATCGAATAGATTTCTTGTTGTAGGAATGAGAAACTAATTCTTATGTTTTTATCCGTATCGACGAACGAAGCCAAGTCGAGATACTTCATTGATTTTATTTATTTCCTTTGCTTATCCTCGGCCAGTGATTGGCTGAATGATACAAGCGAGGTGCAAAAAAATGAAGGAGTGGGGTTGGTCTGAACTAACGCGTTACCTACTACGGTGTAAGGGATCATCCAGATTCCGAAAATTTTATTTTCTTGGTGATGGAAAGTGGAGGAGTGGGGGTGATCTGAGCTAACGCGCTACCTACTACGGTGTAAGAAGAGATCATCCATCAGGTTTCGAGAATTCCATATCTTCGGTGATCGGATAGATTCCTCGTTGTAGGAATGAGAAACTAATTCTTATGTTTCTATCCGTATCGACGAACGAAGTCAAGTCGAGATACTTCATTGATTTCATCAATTTCCTTCGCTCATCCTCGGCCAGTGATTGTCTGAATGATTCAGGTGAGGTGCAGGAAAATGGAGGAGTGGGGTTGATCTGAAGTAACGCGTTACCTACTACGGTGTGAGGGATCATCCAGGTTCCGAAAATTTTATTTTCTTGGTGATCGGAAGTGGGGGAGTAGGGGTGATCTGAGCTATGGCGCTACCTACTACGGGGTAAGACATTGAGAGATCATCCATCAGGTTTCCAAAAATTCGATTTCCTTGATCGAATAGATTTCTTGTTGAAGGAATGAGAAACTATTTCTCATGTTCCTATCCGTATACACGTAAAGAGAGCGATCGCACGGTTTTCATAGGTATGTTGATAGATGACTGTGTTTGTATATGTGAGCTATTTTGTAGCATAAAACACTGTATTACTTTCATCTTATTTTTATTAATTTGAAAGCAGGCAAACGTTGTTTTGCCACATACATTATTTATAGAAAATTATTCTTCAGTTAAATCTTCATCAACACATTTAAATAATTTTTGAATGTATGATGAATTGATTTTCATCGTACAGGACGTGGAGTGAAATTTTGAATTGAGAAAACCTAATCACGAATCTGCGATTGAAGGTCTATGAAAATAACAAGCTTCCATCGTTCGAAGTTTGAACACGAATCCGATTTGAGAGATAATGTCAATTCTAAATTCCAGAGGATTTTCATTTTTCTTGCTCTCTTTTTGGATGTTCAACATATATAATTCAATGTTCGACGTGGCAAATAGCCAGGAAAGTACTTGTTGTTTAAGGGGCCTTATTAAGCATTTTTCGACCCAAGTTTATATAAACTTTTGTTCTTATTTTTGATCGAAAAATCTGCTGTTGAAGTATGGCAGGCTGATTTCAGGTATATGATGTGAAAATTGGCAACGTTATGCGGGTGTAACAATATATTTAAATCGATTCCATTCGAAAATGATACATCTCTGATCCATACGGAACAATCCCAGATAGCACAAATACCTTTTGAGGCCCTTCTGAGGCGTTCACAATAATGTCCTCAGGACGTCGAGGGCGAGCCTGACGACGTCCCTAGCTCGTCCTCCTGTTACCGTTCTCTACATCCTAATAACGTCTTAGAACATCCCTATAAGGTCTTCTGGGACATGTTTAGGGCATTATGAGAACATCTTTAGGTAGTACTGAAAAATGTCTAGGGATAGGTTGATAAAAATGAAATTTTATTGAAAAAATATTTATATCATGATATTTGCGAAATTTCCCTGGAATAATAATATGTTCAAATAAAACTTACATCCTATTATTTATAACTTATTGGTGAAGATTTTCGAGTTTCGTTCTGAAAAAATGTAGCTTCTTGTTGAGCACTACTAGAAGTTATTGCCTATTGGTAATATTTCTCTATGTTGTTTTTGATTTCTCAACTCTGGATATGCTTCCTAATGCTGAATTTACTAAAAGTTGAAGCCTTCATACAATATTTTATAGATGATATCAAGTTTGTGTTTTCCATAACCTTCTGAAACAAACAATGATTCAATATCTCATATCCATGTAATATCTATGATTTGATCCACCTACCTTTGTTCCTTTCTTCCTCAGAGAAAAATCATCATCAACATAATAATACATTATAATGATTTTTGTTTTGTTCTAATTCTGTTGTAAGTTCTCTTCTTGTTATCATTTGTGATTTCTGAACCCTGGACATACTATCTGATGCTCAATTTACTGAAAGTTCAAGCCTGCATACAATCTTTTATAGATTCGGAAGAAGCCAAAATATCTTTGATTTGAACATTTCTGCTCTGATGATAGCATCAAAAGTTTGTGTTCTCAATAACCTTCTGAAATAAATAATGTATTAATATTTCATGTCCAGTACCTACCTATACTATCAATTTTTTGATTCAGATACCTACCTTCATTGAATCTACTGAGAGTTCAAGCCTGCATACAATCTTTTATAGATTCCAAAGGAGCCAAATTTCTTGGAATGAAACATCTCTGCTCTGATAATATGATATCAAGTTTGTGTTCTCTATAACTTCCTGAAACAAATAATGTATTGATATTTTATGTTCAGTAGGGTATACATACTATAAATATGATTTGATTCCTACCTAGTACCTTCATTGTATCTATACTGAAAGTTAAAGCCTGCAAACAATCCTTTATAGATTCCAAAGAAGCCAAAATATGTTGGAATATCAAACATCTCTGATCTGATGATAAAATGATCAAGTTTGTGTTTTCATCAATAACCTCCTGGAACAAATAATAATGTATCAATATTTCATGTCCACTACCTATTATCAATGAGTTGATTCAGGTAGGTACCTATCTTTATTGAATCCACTGAAAGTTCAAGCCTTCATACAATGTTTGAAAGATTCCGTAGAAGCCAAAATATCTTGGAATGAAACATCTCTGCTTTGATGATATCATCAAGTATGTGTTCTCAATAACCTCCTGAAATGAAATAATATATCCAATATTTCATGTCTAGTACCTACTATCAATGATTTGATCAATTAATTACCTGTATTTCTTATTATCTCATCAATTTCTCACAGAAATATTATCATGGGATATAACCTCACTTCTAGTATTTCTAGTTCTCTCCTTCTTCTTCCTTTTGGCTTCGTCGACACGTTATTCCATGGAATGTCATCTGAAGACATCCGTAGGCACGACATCCGCTGCAGCCTCAGGCTGTCACTGAAAGAACTTTTCTAGGACAATTACGGCGCTAAATCTATGCCTGATGATGTTCTTAGGTTGTAGAAAACATAACGTCCTCTCTATATAGGCGTTTGGCGACACATTGAGGATGACCCTAGGCGATTGTGTGCTATCTGGGATAGCACCTTTTTTCTGTGAAACGGTGTGGATTTTCAAAATCCGAGATTGAATCGTCGAAAAATATGCATACAACACTATTTCTACTACATATCAACGATTTGGTGGAAGCAACTTCATGTCCAGTTCACACCTTCGCGGATGATAGTACCCTTCATACCGCCTTCTCTTCCAGGGCTCCAATACCAGCCAGAAACGAACGAGGGAGAAATGTTGACAACATAAATATGGACTTGGCAACAATTCTCGAATGGGGATCCAATAACTTATATTTACTAATAACTATATTTCAATGCAAACAAAAGACAAGCACGCCTTTTCTCTAGAAAAGCCGATTTCACTGTGCCCAACATAAGCTTGTCAGGAGTAACCATACCTTTGAAGACATCCATTTCGATGCTTGGTATTACTATCAGCAATAACCTTTCTTGGGAAAATCACGTGAGATCAATTGCTAAAAGTGCATCTCAAAAACTTGGTTTTCTGTTTCGGGCCAGGAGCTATTTCACTTCCTGTCAGCTGCTTATGATCTATAAGGCTCATATCCGACCTGTCCTGGAATACTGTACCCATATTTGGAGTGCAGCACCCAAACATACCCTGAAACTGTTGGATTCTGTCCAAAAAAGGGCAGTTCGCCTCGTGGGTGATACCTCGCTCACAAACTCACTCACCTCTCTGGAACACCGTAGAAAAGTTGGCGATCTGGCTATATTTTATAGATATTTCCATGAACGATGCTCTTCTGTAATATCAACAATAATTGTTCCTCCCTTGGCAGTCTCCGCGAGATTAACCCGTCGAGTTGAGGCTTCGCACCCCTTCGTGGTCACTATGGGAACCTGATGCAGAACATCTCTTTCCAAAGACTCGTTCATCATTGCCAAGGGATGTGTTCCCCGAGGCATATAACCTCCAGAAATTTAAGAAGAACACCAATTCCTACCTTATTCCCCTTGGTTCTCACGATGTTCTCTGAACATTACAGGATATCCCTTTTAGTGGGGAAAAAAATACAGAAAAGTTTGAGCACTATTTAATGTAGTCCCAACCTGTATTAAACACTCCTGAATGAAATTTTGAAATGATATCATTTTCATTGCATTGGGCATGGAAAGGTTAGTTCTTGTGCCGGGTTGCATCATTTTATCAAATGGAGTCTCGGAAATATTCAGGAAATATCATCTTTATAACTCCCCTCCCTTTGAGGAGGCTGTAGGTCCCTCTTAAGATTCATTTATTGATTTATGTTTTTCTTCCTATTTTTGATTGAAGTATGGCAGGCTGATTCGGGACACCCTATATAGACAGTGAATTGTTTATATTATAATATATCTGATTGTGGAATTTTCTGCGATTAATTGCTAATCTTTTT